AATGCGGTTACCGTGAAGAACAAGTACCCCCTACCCCTGACGATGGACCTGGTTGATAGCCTACTTGACGCCGACACTTTCACCAAGCTCGACCTGAGAAACGCCTACGGAAACCTACGTGTAGCGGAGGGTGACGAGGAGAAGCTGGCTTTTGTCTGTCGACAAGGACAATTCGCACCGTTGACTATGCCATTTGGACCAACAGGAGCACCAGGCTACTTTCAATATTTCATGCAAGACATCCTGTTGGGACGGATTGGGAAGGACACGGCAGCTTACCTGGACAACATCATGATCTACACGCAGAAGGGAACCGACCACCAAGCGGCTGTCATGGGAGTATTGGAGACACTTAGCAAGCATCAACTTTGGCTGAAACCGGAAAAATGTGAATTCTCTCGACCAGAAGTGGAATACTTGGGACTTTTGATATCATGTAACCGGCTGAGGATGGACCCGACTAAAGTCAAAGCTGTATCCGAATGGCCACCGCCCAAGAACGTGACCGAACTACAGCGTTTTATTGGCTTCTCAAACTTCTACCGGCGATTCATTGACCACTTTTCAGGAATAGCTCGACCTCTCCACGACTTGACCAAGGACAAAACTCCCTACGTCTGGGACGACCGTTGCAACAAGGCCTTTGAAACTCTGAAAACCGCGTTCACCACGGCGCCAGTACTGAAGATAGCCAACCCGTACAGGCCTTTTGTCCTTGAATGTGATTGCTCGGACTTTGCACTCGGTGCTGTCTTATCCCAAATCTGCGACAAGGATCAAGAACTCCACCCGGTGGCGTATTTGTCACGGTCATTGGTCCAATCCGAAAAGAACTATGAGATTTTTGACAAGGAATTGCTGGCAATTGTGGCGTCTTTCAAGGAATGGCGTCACTATCTAGAGGGCAACCCAAATCGACTACAAGCAATTGTCTACACCGACCACCGGAACCTTGAAAGCTTCATGACAACCAAGCAACTGACACGGAGGCAAGCGAGATGGGCCGAAACCATGGGATGCTTCAACTTTGAGATTGTTTTCCGACCGGGCCGACAGTCATCCAAACCGGATGCTCTGTCCAGACGACCCGACCTGGCGCCTTCGAAGGAGGACAAGCTCACCTTTGGACAACTTTTGCGACCCGAGAACCTCACCCCCGACACTTTTGCTGAAGTGGCTGAATTTGACTGCTGGTTTGAAGACGAGTCTGTGGATCTGGATGACGCCGAACATTGGTTCCAAGTGGACATTCTCGGTGTGGAGGAGCCCAACATTCCGTCAGAGAATATCCAACAGACAGCGAACTGATAAGCCAAATCCGATCTCTGACTCCATCTGATTCCAGACTGACCAAATTGATTTCAGCCTGTGAGAACCCAGTGTCCAGTCGAATGAAGGAGGCCACCAAGCAGTACTCGGTGAAGGACGGGGTGCTCTACAGGAGCGGACGGATTGAAGTACCCCGGAATGAAGACCTCAAGACCAAAATTCTGAGGAGCCTCCATGACAGCAAGTTAGCAGGACACCCAGGAAGATCAAAAACGCTCTCGCTGATACGCCGCAGCTTCACGTGGCCATCCATGAAAAGCTTTGTCAACCGCTACGTGGATGGCTGCGACTCTTGTCTTCGGGTCAAATCCTCAACCCAGAAACCATTTGGGAGGTTGGAACTGTTGCCCATCCCTGCAGGCCCGTGGACGGACATCAGCTATGATTTGATAACAGACCTCCCCCTATCCAACAATTGCGACAGTATCCTCACTGTGATTGACAGACTGACTAAAATGGCCCACTTCCTTCCTTGCAACAAGTCCATGAACTCTGAACAGCTTGCAGATCTTATGTTGAAACAGGTTTGGAAACTCCACGGCACACCAAAGACAATTGTCTCGGACAGAGGAAGTGTTTTTATCTCTCAGATCACACAAGAATTGGACAAGCAACTTGGAATCCGGCTCCACCCTTCGACTGCCTACCACCCTCGAACTGACGGACAATCCGAAATTGCAAATAAGGCGGTGGAGCAGTACCTACAGCACTTTGTTCAGTACCGACAGGACAACTGGGAACCCCTTTTGGCGACGGCAGAATTTGCGTACAACAACAATGATCACGTCTCAATTGGAGTCTCACCGTTCAAGGCAAACTACGGTTTCAATCCTTCATACGGCGGGATCCCATCAAGTGAACAGTGTCTACCTGCGGTTGAAGAGCGACTCAAACAAATTGATGAAGGCCAGTCAGAACTCAAGTTATGTCTAGAAGCAGCTCAAGAATCAATGAAGACCCAATTCGACAAAGGAGTAAAGGACACCCCAATTTGGAACGTTGGCGAGGAGGTTTGGTTGAACAGCAGGAATATTTCGACAACAAGACCCAGCCCCAAGCTGGACCACCGATGGCTGGGACCATTCCAAATTTCTAAGAAAATATCCCAATCTGCGTACAAGCTGACTTTGCCATTATCCATTCAGGGTGTTCACCCGGTGTTTCATGTTTCAGTACTGCGGAAGCACAACCCGGACACCATTGCTGGAAGGCGCCATCCATCACCAGAACCAGTACAGGTCAACAATGAGGAGGAGTGGGAAGTGGAAGGCGTACTGGACTGTCGGAGAAGGGGGAAGAAGGTCGAATACTTGGTCAGCTGGAAAGGCTTTGGACCGGAGGAGAACTCGTGGGAACCCGAAGTCAACTTGGAACACTGTCGAGAACTGGTCGCCGAATTCAACATCAAGTTTCCGGATGCGGTGTCAAGACACAAGAGGTCACGGAGAATGAAGTGAGAGGGCAAGCTTTTTCCCACTGGGTTTTTTAACGCTGCCCGGGGAAAGAATGCAGAGCCAAAAGAGGAGGAATTTTTTTTATTTTATTTTTTATCCATAGTTAAATTTTTTTCTGGAACAACAACGGGGGCGGCTTGGGCATTAAAGGGGGGATAGTGTTATGAGCTGTGGAGGACTGGAACTGGGGACGTTACATATGTAGAGAGCCTGTTACGCACATGTCACGAACTTCGAACTTGGAGTTCGTTCGAGATCCGAACCTTGTACATTCCTCATCTTTCAATCTACCATCAAGACTCAGAACCCTGAAGATCCATCACCTGCTCTCCTCAGAACACCCATAACACACCCCTGATCTCCTTTTCATAGCTTATGCTAAGAATCTTCCAATTTTTATTTCCAAAGGTTTATTCAAATGGTATTGTGGTTGATGGAACTCTACAGTATTCCATTTTTTCTAACTCATCCTCCTAAGTTCTCTGTTTCTTCTAATATATCTTGTGCCTAAATTATTCTTGAACCGATGTATCTATTGTGATCCTGAGCCTCTTATGTGGTGGCAGGACACAAGGAAAATGGGGGACCTTCCAGATGGATTACAAGGGGATAGGGAAATAAGGGGATAGGGAAATACATCCAGACGAGAGAGAAAAGGGGAGAGAAATAGAAAAGAATAAAGAAAGATTTTTTTGTTTGATTGTTTTTATTTTAAGTTTGATTGAATCTGAAGTGTTACTTTCCTCTTGTAGGTTGACTGATAAGCTGTCTCAGACCAGCCTCTTCTACAAAGGAAACTATAGAAGGTTTTAGTTTGAATATTTTCAGAACCAATCACTATTTTTTTGGATCAAAGATCAAGGATATTTAAAGGGAAATTGGCTTTCAGGTATATCACCAAACAATAGAATCATAATAATTATTGATTTGCAGTCAAAAGAAGGGTGAGTTAGAAAGAAAGATATGGTTGAAGAACCATGTGTGAGACTGAGATAAACAGAGCAACTTAGAAATCAAGCAAATACAAAGTTTACTAACTGTAAGAGTTCTAGCATGACTATGGGGAGGTAAAACTGGGAATTGCTATTGCTGTGAAAAGTTAGGCACCAAGCAGTAATGAGGTTGGTTGGGTTTTGGTGGTTCTGGTTCAAAGTGAGTCTGAAAACCTTGAATATCCTGGAAAAATGGACTGAGGATCCTCTGACAGGATTTTCAGAATTGTATTACATGATAATTACAAGTACTTGTGATAGAGAGATGCTGTAATCCCAGAGTAGCAGGTTTTACCCCAAGTACAGAAAGTATGTGAAGGAGTTGGGTATAGTAAAAGTGGTTGGTGTTGACTAAGGATGACATTGTGTGGGAAATCCATTTCTAAATTCAAATCTTGAATATATTGTGAGAGTCTAAAGTTATGATGGAATTATGATTGGAAATAACAGTTAAAGCAGCTTTTTGTCAGCCTGCAAGGAAATGTCACAATACCTGTAATATTGTTCCAATTACTACTCAGACTGAATTATTCATTATCATCTCACTCAATTTATCTTTTTTATGCTTACATAGTATTATGCATTGTACATACTACATGTTTTTGTTCTCTCTTAATTCTATGCTCCTCAGAAATCCAAGAACAGACAACCTTTCATCAAGTTAAAAGTATTCCTCTTGTTCCTGAAGTAAATCAAGGATCTACTGTCAGGACCGCTTCTTAAGTAATATTGCACCAATCTCTGAACCAGTCAAAAGCTTGGAATCAACCTTTCTCTAGTTATATCAGTGAATCTCTCAACCTGAAGAGCCTTGGAATAACTTATCAATATCTTGCCTTAGGAGCAACACCTTACCTGATCGCTGACACCTTTGGCCAGCTATGCTGGCTCTAAAGCTGACATTAATATTGCACTCATTGATTCGATGTCCTCTTTTTAATTTTTCATGTATCAAATACTATGAGATCTACTCATGTTTTCCTTGTAGTCATGGATCCTTGGCTTATAGTGATCATGTCCCCTCAAAAAATTCCACTTATATTCTAGAGTTTGTTTCATCCTTGGTTCTATGGAGTGCACATGAGTTTTCAATCTCCTTTTATCCACTACTACAGCCACAGTATGATCAACTTGTATTTAAATTACCCATACTTGCTAGTGCAATCAATCAAACTCCATTGGCCCTTTAAACTCTCAAATTGTCAAGTCATTTCTAGTGCTGCATCTCTCCCTTACATTTTGTTCTATATAAGTTTAAAGTGCTCAAGAGCTTAAGTTTCAACAATGAATCAAGCAAAAATTGTTCAGAAGTGAGGAAAAAAGTAAGGGAGTTGCATGGTCTAAAACCTGATTTGTACCCCAAAAATAGAAACTATACAGACTGTGAAAACTAATAACACTCATAAGGTGGGTGGTTCCCAGTGTCAGGAACAGAAGAGGTGAAGGGTTAACTGGCTTGCTCTGGCTTTTGTTCCACAGACAAACAGACAAAATCTGGAGCCCATTCATTGACTCCTTCGATCAAGATTTTATTGTCACCAGGCTGTCAGAACAAAATCACATAGTAATCAGATATTATTGCTTGAATGGGCAGATGGTTTTCCTCTCAGGACTCACTGTCAAAGGAAGGGAGACAAGGAAGCCCTCGTAGACCTCTTCCCAAAGCTGGAACATTCAAAGTTGTAAATTGATTCACCCAAAAGTAAAACATATGATCAGTGCTGAAAGTAAAAACCTGAGATTGTTAGATCCTCCTGAAAATCAAGATACTGACTAGGCCTGATATCGGAAAATCCACAGTAACTTTCTTATCATCATTAACTGTGATGACAGTGCGTTTAAAATTCAATTTTGAATCATCTTCGTCTCCGGTCGCGAGCTGAGCGTTAATAAAGTCAATGCTGAATAGAACATCTCCCTTCGTTTGTATGTCAGGAATGGTCCAGCGAACTCCACCGCCCCCATTCGGGCTAATCCTAGACACCGCTTTGATTTTAGGAGTAACGTCTTTCAACCTTGCTGAACCCATCACGTCAGCTGTTTCAGCTGGGAAGCGCTTGAAATTTATTTTGGGAGCTGGCTTGGTTTCAGTTAGCTTTAGGAACAAGCATCCATGCCCACCAACATGAGAACTATAGCTGTGGTAGTTCATTCCATCAATCCGGCAGAATGTCAGTTACTCATTTTTAGCCTACTAAAACTCCAACAACTTACGTGCCATTCACAGGTCCTAAATCCTTCCCATGCCATACATCGTATAAGTGTGCAGATGAGAAACCCATGTCTGCGAGATCAATGTGCTTGAGTGAAGTGTGATCTTCCCAGTTGACGATAACTGTAATGACAGTCGTTTAGGAAAGAATTGTTGCGGGCGATATTTAGCTTGATTCTGGAACAGTCAACAATAATCTTTCTAACAAAAAAAAAGCTCACCTGCAACCGTGCTACCATCACTTAAGGGCCCGCTCCATACATCTTTATCATCGGAGTATCGACGCCTCAAGGTAATACTTTTGCCTAGATTGTCTTGCTAAATGTAAAATGGGAATGAATCCCGACTTTTTCAATTATTATTATCTGGGCATGCAGACCCGGAAATTTTACTCTTACGTTAATCGCAATTACCCCGGGGTTTTTAAGTACCTCAATGAAGTCTGGGTGAACCTTGGACAGGTCAGAAGAGAAAATTAAGGGAGATCTAGGAAAAGAAAAAAAAATTGATTAGTATGTCCAGTGGATTCATCAAGCTCGAAATTGAATGAAAAAAGAGGCAAATTAGAAAGCATACTTTGCTGCGGCCCAAAAAGCAAACTGGGTTAGCATTTCAGGCGAAATTAACTTATTTTCCCCCAATTGCAGAAATCCAAGGTCGCTGTACGATCCTGGTCGTGTTTTCGGGGCATATGGCACGGCTGCGTTGAGAGTCCTGATGCTGTTTGGCGAGAGAAAATTAGATTTGACAGAGTGGCACTGGAACATACACCAATTGCATTGTGTCTTACAAAGAATTCCAATTATCTCGGGTATCATCTGCTATTCTCCAACTATTGGCTCTTAGTTGGTTTGAGGCCTCTGGAGAAGCTCCCCATTGCGAGGTGCTAGTAATGTCCAAGTTGTTCAGTTAGCTGAAAAATGGCTTGACATCCTAAATCAGCTCACGCATAGAATAGTTTAACACCAGCATCACGTATCGCATCTTCCATTTGAACGTAACGAGCCTATTTGGCATTCCACCACCTATTAGTCATATTTTCAACACCTATTATTGAGTCAGATTTTCTTTGACGCACGTTTAATGGCGAGGCTTGGTCTGGATACTGCAACCTGTCGGGTGATGCCAAGTCGCAACTGTTAAATTTTTGGATCTGGTGATTAGCGTATTGTTTCAGATGTTTGAGTTTTTGTGAAGTATATCCGAACTCACGGCCTATGCGAAAGGTAGGTCACACCCCATTCAACCAGTTTCGCAACGTACGCTTTGAGGTTCTTTGGAACATCGCCGCCGTGAAATTTTTCGTGGGGATCTCTTTTGCACAGCTGACCTCTATAGTATCATATGGCAACAAAATTTCAGTTCCAGAACTACCAGGATAAACACATAGGTCATATGCTATAAAACTCCAGACTAACCCTGCCCATGTACCAAAACCCAGGTTGAGGCCCTTAGATTTCAAATAATCAACAAAGGGCCCTATCCCATCGTGGAAAGTGCTTTTCTTGGTCTATTTGTTCCAGAATTTTGTTTCCCTCGTCATTAAAGTGGTTCACGTTCGTCTATGTACTGTCTGAATGAATGTATAAGCTTACGTTTGGTGTACCATCTTTGTTGGCCCAGTCTTCCCATGCACATTCGACTACGAAAGTGGAGTATCCCGCAGTGTTAAGCCCCGTCTGGGCCAGTAAGTCTGCTTGCTTTTGCAGATCGCCCTGATTTACGTGTTTGCCACATCCAATAGGCCAGAAAGAGTTCCAACCCATTACAGCTGGAGTAATGATCTTCTGTCAGCACCGTAACATGCATGGATTCCGCTGACATAGTATTTACTAACGTTTAGGACCGGCAGGCGGTGGTGGATCTCGACGCATCACTTGCTGAGTGGGGCTTTGAGTTGCGAATCCAATATTTAACACAAGAATCGCAATCCTAGCCCATTGAATTGCAGATAGGCGCTGATAAGCATTTGGCCAAATTTTCATTTTCAGTTCCATCTTGGCCTGAATATTTTACCCCACAGCTTTATGATTCGAACTGGCGATGTCGTTTGATATACTGAGTACGTTCAAAATAGGTGGTATGTAAAAAGTATAATATAAAAAAAAAGAAATTAGATACGGTGGGTACCTCGCAAATGAACGTAATTTTTTGGGCCAAATTTTTCGGTGTTTTGATTAGTTTGAATGATTGGCCAATCTATTCAGTTCTATAAATCACGGGTGGGTGTTGTTGGTGAAAGAGGGTATCTTGGATTTGAGAAGGGTGATTTACTAGATAATGAATGGCTAAATGTCCGGGATTCAAAGTCCGTGAAGACGAACGCTTGATGAAAGTGGTAGTGTACCTAGTGTGATTCAAGGAAAAGAAGACCGCTGAGAAGAGAGGGCCGGATCTGTGATCCAAAGAAATAAACAGAGAAGGAGAATGAAGCGAAAGGACAGGTATGAAAATTGCTACGAGGCTGAAGACAAGTAAAGACCAATCTCATGTTCTATGTGTTGTGTTTTTTAATGCGCTTGATCAAACACTCCATCCAGATGGCTCGGTATCCAACACGGGCCGGCTTGGATCTTGTCGCGAAATAGGGGGTCCACAGGTGTCGTCCGTGTTTTACACTGGATGATCTTACCGAGCCCTTGGGATCCTCGGAGTCCGTACTCCTGGCTGGCACTTCAATGAGTGCTTAGCAGCCGAGGAATCATTGTCTGACTACCGGGCTCCGATGAGCTCGTATCAACAACGCAATCGTTGGGAGTTTTATCGATTCACACAAATTTTGCATCCTGAATCACCCCGCGAAAAATCAGTTCATGTTGCATACCAGGTGAGTTTACGATAACGATTAGCTAGCAAGGGTTCCAACACCCACAAGAAACTGATAAACTCGCCACATCGATGCTGTTTCGTGATGACAAAGTTTGGCAACATTTTTCGCGATGGTGTGAAGATCCGGAATTCTTGACGACGGATAGTAAACCCCACCAACCAATTTTGTGCAAGTGTTGTAAAGACATCTCTAATTGAAAACAGGCACTTTCTGCACACCTCTGATCATGCCCCAAGACTCCATCAATTCACAATTCCGCTGCTTTGGAAGGATGGATGGGCTCTGCCAGTCCACCAGGGAAGTGAACCCGCTGAAATGTATCATAACCAAAGAGAGAGCTGTGGAAGAAGGCAACCAAAGGGTAAAAACAGTAAGCCAGTAAGTAAGATTTGGTGGACATTGGGTCTTCCAAGCCTGCCTTGGGCTTGGAGTCACATCAGTTGCTGAGAATCCAAAGGAATGGCCCAACCCATGTGAATTTTGCTTTGGTGCAGGTGTGGGCATTGTAGTTTTTTTTGTCCCCTGTTCCTTAGGCCACATGGGCTAGCCCACAAGCACAGAAATGTAACCTACTTTGCTGGAATTTATGATCATCCTGAATTGGGGTATGTTGTAGTGCTAGTCCACGACTGCATCTGAATATCTGGTATCAAGATTCAACTGTTGGTTCTGTACCACAGCCTTGCACATCATCCCATTGTAGCGGCTACAGTGACTGCTGTATGTGATGCTGTGGGCTAGCGCAACAGCCAGATGCCAGCTTGCAGTGTCAACAGTTTTAAGAGTCCTTAAGAGCCCCATTGAGGAAGTCTAAGGACGTGGAGTTGAGTCTCAAACTGGCACACAAGCTTTGTGGGAATTTGTTCAACAAATAAATAATCAGGACATGATAAAATTGCTACATGGTTTGATTGTGCTGATAAATAAATAGTCACTTCTTGTTTGAAGCTTAGTGAGATTACAAGTCAAAGTATAACAAGCTTGATATCTTGAATGCTTTATTCATGGTTTTGCTTAGGTGATTGATTGTCGAGCTGAAACTGCATGATTGAGAGTCCTTAATGTTTGGTTGGGTTCGGTTTGGTAATCTGGGTACTAGTTTATCCGAGGTCGATATGATCGGAGTCACGGTATCAGAACAAAAGACAGAATACGAAAAGGTAGAGTGTCCTGTGTCGAGCAGATGGACTATTGATCTACCAAAAGTAGTGTTACATAATCGTACATTTTAATGATACTGGGTGTTGGCTTGCGGCGGTGCCAGGGTAGTTCCAAGACGCTGGAGTGTAGTTCCAGTAGAGGTGATGAAATCGTTAGTACGTGCCAGTAGGACGGCCGATGTTGAGGATCGGCGTTGATCAGCAAGTGCTACGCGCTGCTTGACTAAATCGACCAAGTTTTGGGTGCGCTGGGCGAGCTGGCCCGTGGTTTTGGATAGAGCTTGCTGAGCGGAGGTGGTGGCCGGGATTGACGATTTTCGATGTCGAGCAAGGGTGTCCAAGGCTCGACGAAGATCTGCGATGGGATCCTTGATCCGATCGCGCAGCTCGTTTAAATCAGAGGTGGTGGCTGCGACTGCTTCCCGTCCGATGAGCGCCTTTTCTAAGGCCTGTGAGCGCACCTTGAGCTCCTCGGCAGCTGTCGGGAAATGACTCGGAGCCTGGGATCGATGGGGCCGAAAGATATTGAACAGATAGGCGCACGGTCGAACGGCCACGGCGATGAAGCAAAGCCGTGTGGCAAATCGATCGACGAGCGGCTCTCCTGGTCGCATGGCTGATTGGACTGCTCGAAGGAATCCTACTGCCAGAAAGGGTGAAGCCAGAAGTACGAGGATGGCTGATATCTTGATGATCCTGAGCTCGACGAGTGCCCAATTGGCGGTAGGCGGTATTTCTGAATGGATCGGAGCGGCTGGGACGTGTGAGGCACGAATCAGTCCCGACGGACATCTCATGAACTGTATCAGATGATGCAGAGTGAAGCCAAGAAGGAGGAGACGCTGCCAATCGGCCACCGAGCCGTGGATCGTCGATCCCAGTGCCGGTAAGAGCAGAGTTGCCAGGGGGAGGTACTCGGCGCCAGGATAGGGATCAGGGCTTTTGAGAAGCAGACGGTCGATCCCATGGGGTGCTGCTGTTTGGCGGGAATGGGCAGCTGATTCCGATTCGGGTATCATCAGGTTGGCAGCCGAGTGGACGCTTCGGCACAAGTCTCGAGGAGGATGGAGCTAGGCTTGGGATTACACAGCAGACCAAGATCCCGGAAATCAGGGTGGAGGGGTGGCTCCTCATGTGACAGGCTGGTGACACATCTGATTCTTTCACCTGCAGCTTCACCATGCCATGCTTTTCAGCTAGTTCACTCCTGAATCAGAGGTCTTTCTCTCTTTCTATTGCAGAGTAGTTTTGCTTTGAAGATTTACGCACATATTCTGAATTTCTTAGGTTCCAAACAGATCATTTTATCATCAGCAGATCATATTTTATTTTGATGATGAATCAGCAATGTTGATCAGGAGAATCATAAAACCCAACTCTGGATTCTTGAATGAAGCATGATACCAGGAGCCCATAGATTTGGAATACTGGTGAGCATCTTATAAGTTTGTTCTAAGATACATTTTGTAGAGGGTCTCTCTCATATGAAGGCCAACCTGTTGAAGATTATCTGCTAGTGTAGTTTTAGGCAACATTGATGATTTCAAATTTGGTTACACAGTCTGCACCATACAAATTCTATGCCCATCTTTCTTTTTGAGTTACTTGGATTTTCCTACATATCCCCTGACATATATTAGGACGGTTCACATCTGAGCTTGGAGGCAAATTTAATGACATTCATCATTGCAATTTTGCAAATTTGTCCAAGATCTCAAATTCATTCAAACCTGATGATTCATGAGATTTGACAAAATTCATGAAATTTTATCTACAAATGTGCTAAAAACTGCCTTGAACTTCAGATGTGAACGGGACTATTATCTATCTCACTTTTCAATTTTGAAATTTTACATCCTCTTTCAAAGCATTGACCCAGTTCACAATACATAGCAGGTTCTGGTGGCTGATGAACTTGTTAAAATTTGCAGATGGTGATTTTTGTGCAGGATAGATCTGGGATGATTTGGGGGACTGTGGAATATCCACCAATTTATGTTCTTCTAAGCACTAATGACTTGCTAATTACAGCTAGGAAACTTGCTGATGACTGGCTATTGTGAACTGGGTAATTGGATTTATGTCTGATTGGAAAATATCCCCTCTTACCCATACTAAACTGTTGCAAATTCCATGCAAATTCCATGCAAATTATTTTGTGGTTCTTTGATATCAGCTTCCTTTTGTGCAATTTTTTATTTAACTAGATATTATTTTTCCCCTTGCAATAATGGATTCTAAAATTTTATTGGAGATTTAAAAACATCAGGGCAATGCAAGAAGTCTCAGTTTAGGTTTTGGGGCCAAATAATGTATTTTAATAGATGCAAAGTAAGTACATAAATATCAAATAATCTTGAAATGGTAATCTCAACATGACTGTTTCAGATTGAGATAATGAGAACAAAACTAATCATGTCCTTGTCCTTCAGGGTCAATGATCATCATTCTGGTTGATGCACCACTTTTTTTAGATTGATTGAGCTTGAAAAATCATCTCTTAGTAACTCAAGACCATCATTATTTAGTATTTTTCTTCAGTTTTCCTCTGATGCTTTTTTTTCCATGATGATGTAGGCATGCAGCCATTCTTTGACAATCTTCTCAGTATTTTCAGTTTGTTCTTCTAGTATGTCAAAATTCTTCAGTGTTTTACTCAAACCAGATTGATCAAAAGGAAGCTTTTTGAAGGGGTTTATGTATTTGCTTTGTTATCCCTTATCCCCAGGGTTCTACTGGTTGAAATTGGTAACCAATCTTGGACTTTGGATCTATCAAAGTATTTGGAAAACAGACACAGGTTGGCTTAATGATTGTTTTCTGAATTATCTCTGAGAATAGGTAACACAGACTGTCTTTCAGGAACACGTATCGGACTACGGCCAGAGGCTTTGATCAGGGTCTGGCAACCCTCCTCCACGCGCTTGTTTGTTGTGTGTGACGCGACATTTGGTATACGGGACAGAAAGATTATTAGCAAAATAAGAAGTGAAAACGTGAGGATGGATGTATATATCTGCCTGATCAAAACGAGTGAGATTGACGTAGTGGTCGTAACGTATTGCAATTGATAATACTTATTTTCTGGTTGAATGAATGAAGTGCGTCGTATCCTACAATAATCCGGGAATGCAAACAGACCCATTGACGGCCGGGCCAGCCAACCCCACGAAGCGTCAAGTGGCCTCTATGAAGCAAGCCTGGAGACCTCCAGAAGGCTTTCACCAGGAGGAAGAAAAGTTATGCCAATTGTCGCTGAGGAGATGAAAGACGAGTCTCGAAGTCTCACCATTGGGACCAGCCTGCCGAACCTCAGAGCTTGGCTAATATGTATTTATTGGCATTGTCCCAATACATAAAACACCTTTGGCCGTGCTGAACTGGTGACACTCCTGAATGCTGAATTGAAAAGCAGGCCTCTAAATGTGCAGATTGGACGGATCCTCCCATCTTTGCGGAAACGCGAAGAGTGGCGAAGGCTTTAAGTAGATTAGGCTTGGAAACCTGTTTCACCATATCTCCCTCTCGCGAAACTGTCCGCTATGTGCTACAGAAGAGTCGGTGTTCGGAATTAGGTCTTGTCAAACTGGTGGATGACTTTTCCAATCTGTCGGTAGTTCGTTCTGTCTTCCGTCTGCAACTAAAGTCATCATGAGGCTCACCAACTCCTGGCATCTCTGGCTGTACTCCCTGATCAATCTGTGTTTAATTTCACAAGGCGCCTTCCTAGACAATACCAAGCAAGACCCAGTACCCAAGGTTGAAGAGCTCGGTCAAGCTTTACAATCTCCGAAAGGAACCATACCGTCGCGGTCGGATCTCCCAAGGAGCAGTCAAGTTGATGCTAAAACTACTCAGCCAAAAGAGGAAAACCGGGATCGAAGTTTCACTGATGTCCAGAGGCCCTCATCCGATAACCCTAGCCAGCCGCGCAAACCAATTCAAGGCCCTCGGGATCAAAGCAGTTTTCTCGAAAAGTGGCCAAATAGAATCCAGAGATTGAGATCTCGTTTCAAAAAACTTAAAACGGATTATAGGAGGCTTGTCCGGTCCACCAAAGCTTTCCTCAACCTGTTCGAAAGGTACAACAAGGTAGCGATCTTTTCGGAGATAGATTACTTGAAAGAGATCTTTGGAGAAACCTACGATTACTATAAAACGCTCGATAGAACAGAACAGAATCGATTTTGGGAGATATTCGAGGAAATAGGAAAGTCTGAACATGCCGGGCTTTCTCCACGGCTAGCCAAGACTTCTACCTTCGCAAGAAATGCAAGACACGAGCTCGCCAAGGTCAATCGGGACAGAGTTCGTACTTCCAAAAGGGTGGTGTTCCGGGCAATGCAAATCCTAGAAGAGATTGAAAAAGGTCAAGATGAATATGATAAAGCGCTAGAGAGCTCGACGAAGTTGGTGGAAGATTTTGTTCGGTCGTTCACGAACAATGGAAAAGTCCCTCATATATCCCAAAGAATCAGAGATTGGAAAAGAGAGCATCCATTGGGAATACCACCAAGTACGTCCTCTCACTCATCTCTGAACCTGGGTAAACTCAAAAGCATGGTTATGCACGTCGTTTTTTCCCCTCGATCTGACTCATCGTTATTTCCCCAACATTCTAGTGGAATATCAATACCAGTTGGTCTTCGCCGCCATCTTTGGCCCGGGTGATATCACCAAGCCTCAAAAGAATGATTTTGCAGACTTTCGGAGATTCGAAAAACTATGGCAAGTCACCCACCAACAGATGCACGCGATATGGGAGGTGTCCAGCGAGGCAAAGAGCATGCTAGCTGATCTGTATACGGCCGAGGAGAAGAACGCTCAGCGCGGCTTGTGGCTCTGGAAGTATCTGAGCCCAACCTCTGAATACAAACAAGCAATCCAGAAATCGCGCGAACAACAGAAAGCTATCCATGAGAAATTGTCCGCTGTCTTCGAAAGCAAGCAGGCATTAGAGGAGAAAATGGAAGCAATAGCTGAAACACGGGCTCTTGATGAAGAATGGACTGATAAACGCTGTAAGCACCTACTTACTACTTGACATCAGTTTATCATCTTTCGCCCAGAAAACCCCAAAAAAGTCACCACAGACGCTGATGCGATGTTCCCCCCTCTGACATCTCTGAACTATTCGATGCAGTTTCAAGTGTCCACTATGACTTACTACCGTTCATTGATCCTCTGCGTGCCACCCGAAGATACGAAGACCATCCGGACATAACCCCACTACTTCGGCATTTCGGGATCCATACCACTCCCAGAGCTATCAAGAGATTGATGGAGTTGAGCGAGGCACTGATTCCGCATCTAAGGGTACAATACAAGCAGCAGATACTCGCGGGGGATGTAAGAAGGGTCCTCGAGACTGGATTGAACGGTGCAACCCAATATCGGATCTCGATTCTCCTGAAAAAAGTGGTCGAAAAGCTTCAATCCACAACGCCCGAACCTCGACCGCTACACTCTAGATTATTCGACGCTGCAAAGGGTTATATTTTGAGATTTATCAACAGTTTCAGACCAAAGCGAGCAGCCTCAACAGCCCGACACTCTCCACTTTTTAAACGAAGCACATAAAAGTGCATACATTCACGTGACCCATGGACCAAACACACCTACAAGATAAACTTGAACTCCCAATTTGCGCCAAGGACAATACTTGGACAATTTTGCAGGTTTTTCACAGATAATAGTTCAAAAGGAAGTTCCTCAATCAATTGGATGTAAGTAGAAAACCTGCAAAATTGTCTGATAGTTACATTGCATAAACCCAACATGATCAAGTTTGACAACTTCCCTGTATGATGGCGCAAAGGAAGCCATTCCTGCATGTTTGGAGTCGCAACATATTTATATTTTTAGTTTGGCTATATGAAAAAAAGAAATTCGCATTAATAATTCTTTGGTAGCAACATTTGCTTGGTTGACTTTTGACACATCGATGCCTTTGAGGCACTTTCAGAAGCTACACCGGATGCCTTGGGATTCCAGAAAGGATTAACCATTTAAAATGAATGGTTGAAGGTGGTAGCTGTACATTGGCACCTAAAATGTAATCTGGGAAGATGTGCAAAGTGAATAAAATAAAATGTAGGGTGACATCAAATAGCAAAACACCCAAGGAAAGAGATCAATGGACAAAACCCAAAAGAAAAGATTCAACAGAAAAACCCAGTGTATGAGTGCAAACAAATTGTGCCCGATAGAGTATAAGACAAAATTTAAACTCAAAGCTTAAGAAAATCAAACAAAAGATTATTACAAAAAATAAAAATCTGCAGCTAATGACTGAGAAACCAGGTTTTATTCAAGTAAGAAATAATCAAAAGAACTAACAAGATTTGAGCACCAAAAAATGAGATTAAAGTAGAATTATGTAAGTAAACAAATCTTGAGAATATGATGTCTAAATCAAACTTGAGATGACTGTGTAAGAAAAGAAGACATAAATTCTGCTAGAAATGGTAGGAGTTATTTATGAACAAGAATTCTGGAACTATGCATAATTTTGAGGAAAATGTTAATATTAGTACCAAAATGAATCTAGATATTCATTTGTTGAGTGTTGGGTGTAAGAGTTTACTTTTTCAAGTGCATCACTTGTCACTTTATTCCACTCAGCCTTCAATTTATCATTATCCACTAAATGAAGTTCTTGCAGGTCATTATTTTCTTTCAACCAATTTGATAGTTCTAAGTGATCAACACTGGAAGGTATGCTTTCATAAATTTGTTTGAACTTTTCAAGAGAATCTTCTTGTTTGGTTTGGTAGTATTGATGGATTGATTCAATATTCAATTCTGCAAGCTTCTCAGTTTCAGAGAACTGTCTGCTAAATATTCTAAAGAATTGTTTCATATCCTTATAGTATTCAAACCTTGAGGAGTTCAAAATCAGATTGTATTTGAGTTCAAAGCTTTCAGGAAAACCTTGTTGCTTGAATGTGTGATCTATTATTCCTTTTTGGATGTTAACTTCAAAAAAATCCAAAATTTCACAGATTCTTCTTGCTACTGCCCTTGCATTTTCTCTTTTGGATTGATCATTATTGGTTCCAATTGTTTTGGATAGAAATTTCATCAGTTTTTCAACATCATCTTCTAAAAATTTGAGCTCTTCTTCATTCAAAGATACCACTGTTCTTGATCTGACATCAGTTTTCAACACTTTCTCAATATAATTCCTGGTTGATATAGTATTTAGAAGAAGATTGAATTCTTCAAATTCATGTTCATACATTAAATCAATTTCTGTCAGCATTTTGAGATCCATAATTAAAGCTTGTTGTTCATTCATGACTTTGGTGGAGCAAGGTTTGAACAAAGTGATAAATAGAAAAATTGGGAAATCAGTCTGTGATCCCATTCTAGAAGAATATCTCATAAGAATATATATAATTAGTAAAAAATAGGAGAAATGACTCACGCTTCATGAAATCAAACTGCAATGACCATAACCACTGCTTGGTAACATCTGTTGTCCCCTCAAAAACCCAGAAACCATCTTCTGTGTAGAGGAGCTCAGTGTTAAGAGCAGTAACCCAGGACAAAAATCTATCCTGTTCAAAAAAGCTCTTGGTTGTTTCCTCTCGTATGAAGCCATTATTATTCAAGAAATCGACGGTAAAAACCAAGCAAGGAATGATTTGAGCCATTGCAGAATTATCATCGTCTTCCAAACGAACATAAATCTCTGGATGATTTGAATTTGAAATCTGCTCCTTCATTTCATTCACAAAGAAATCTGTGAATTTCTCTCTTCCAAAATTTTCAATGTCTGAATAAAGTTCAGGAGAATAAAAGTCCAATGATTCTGGAGTTTGGCTGATTATTTGGCTGTGTGGAGGATGTAAATTTCGAATTTTTGGCTTGATCTTCCCTATCTCGACCAGCTTTGATTGAATAAGTGCTCTCACTATCTGATCGCATTTGATAGCAAAACTGTAATCTTGAGAAAACTGATCATTCCCTGGTGAACCGCTGTGTTGTTTTGAGCTGATATTAACAATGCTTTGAAATCTTGCTTGATAAGTATAGAGCGATCTCAAGGTCTCTATAATTACACACTCTTTATCAATTAAAATCCTCTTCAAGAATAAACTGCCCTGAATCAAAGAGCTCACCCTCATGGCCTCTTGAATTTTGGACAATCTCCATACCTGAAAAGATACCTACCATCAGCATTGTTATTATATTACCCAGCAGGTTTGAAAGGGCTACTAACGATCTTGTTCGGTCAAATGCTCTTGTCCAGGGTAGTAATTGTTTATAAAAAGCTCAGTGTGAGTATTGATGAAATGTGGGTGATCCAACTCGGGTTCACTATCATACATGTCTGAATAACCACCATCATGAAGTGACAAGTCTTCACCGCCAAAGACCGGCTCGTTGGCTCTATGATCAAGTGAATCGGCCCGAATAACATTCAGCGTCTCTGCATGCCCATCATGAACTGGATCGTTCCCTTCACTTGAAGCAGGCTCTGGAAGCGTGTGTGGGAGTTCTGCAAGTCATTACGATGTGGGCGTTCGGAGCAAAGTATCATTAGCGAAACAATCAGGACGGACTAGAAAAAAAAAAGCGATGGTTTTTGTAAGAGTATTATATCGATAATGTACCCGCTTCAGTATGCGCGGGTGCAGCTGCACTGCCACTAGCCTCCGCTGGTCTTCCAGTGCCAGGCGTCCAGCGAAATGCGTTACTGGAGAGGGAAATAGAGCATATAATAAGAATCATGTAAGGGCGAAACATTTCGGGAGAGGAAGTGGAATCAGTCAGGATGATTCTAATGATGATTTTGCAAGTGATTTGGGTCCACTTATTTATATCTTTTTCACCAAGCATAGAAAGCGTTTACTCTGTGTCCTTCAAGCAAACTGAACGTGCCAGTGATAGCATGGCAATTTTCCAATTACAGCTTACCTTGCGATCACACAGGTTAAAACGAGGATCAATACACCACCTACAATCCGCAATATTTTTCAGAGAAATTTTGTACATTCCTCCCACCAGACTCCACTTTCCTCGGACTCAGTGCGGTATGCACGGTTTGTGAAAGGTATTGCTTGGCGAAGTTAATGGCAGGGACCTGGCCAAACCGCTGTACTGCTTGTCCGACTCGCATGGGCGGCACTCGGCCTTGGAGAATGGTGCGCCTAGCGACCTTGAAGCGTGCCGAATCCACCGTCTCTACAAAGGCTGATACTTCCTTCGCCGATTTCCTCAAAACTAGCAAGCATAAAGGAGACACAGGCCGAGATGGTGTGTTTCTGGACCTGACCTGATCTCGTCTCTTGGCAAGTGGCGGTGGAGGATTTGACGGTGGTCTGTAAAACTGACCGGTCAACTTCAGTCGATACTTGTCAACAAATTTACGTCAAGTCAGGCGCAAGGGAAAAACCATCTTCGACAAAGGAATGAACAGTTGTATGTACGGCCTCGATCAAGCTAACTTATCTCCAGCCCCCCCACGACCAGTAAACGGAGCTCCGGACAAATGATCAAACAAGATACCGAAACGGCTGCAGCGCATCCACAGACAACACCAGTGTATGATGACCTCCAGACAGTTCCAACACAATAATTGAGGCGTGTTTTGAGGATTTGATTAGAATCCGAAATCTGCCAAGTTCATTCATCCTGGCTGGCTTAGATCAATGGTAGATCGTCTCCCTCCTACTTCTGGTTATGAAAGTGATTGGTGGTCGAGGAGAAGGCTGCGGGTTCGAGTCCCGTGGTCAGTGTTCATTTTTGGATTTCTTTCGCGGTGGTGGTTGCCATGCTTTGTCTCTCGAAATCCGTTTTGTTTTAAATATGTACGCCATCAACACCCACCTGGTTTATGAGGAAACATACTTGTATGCACATGTTTTTTTTGTTTTGTTTTTGGGTGGCTGTTTGTACTCTTACGAGGTGAATTGATTCCTGCAGGTCTTCAGGAATTTTCTTAGGGGATATCATGAGGTTGATTGATGTGTTGTTGGAAGAGTGATTCTGGATTGATAATCAGTTTGTTTGGTGTGCCTTCGGTTTACATGATAGCCTGATCTTTGCCCAGTTGGGGTATGTTTGTACACAGGCACAGGTTCATTTCGAAATGTTTCTTGGAGGCTATTGTGGATAGCTATGGACTGATTGCACGCAGTCAGCTCATCCGACGCCTTCCGAGTCAATCAACCCCTTGTATGCTGGAGTCGCGGACTGCTGGAATTCTGCAGATCGATGCAGTTGTTTTGCTGATGTAAGCCAATCACAGACCTGTCACCAGGTCCATCGGGTGGATCTCCCTTCTCCAATGAGGCCATTCTCCAATTCATTCCCACTTCTACTTCCACTTCTTCCTAAAAATAAATAAATAAATAATCAAGAACACAACTATTATTATTATCACTACTACCACCACCAACTCCATCAGGATGCGGTCCTCATTCGCTCATCTCCTACAACTCCTACTCTTCGTCCTACCCCTCATCAATGCCCACGACCTCCATCCATCCTCTCCATCCTGCCGACCAATCCAGAAGCGTCAGCTAGTCTCGTCGGGCGAGGGAGGCGCGACCAATGGACCATCGAGTACCCCTCAGTTCAGTATCCTCCCTCCTCCAGAGAGACTCTTCCCAAACAGGCACACTAATTATCTTCTTCTGCCCAACTCAGATCGGCTGGATATACCTGTGATCCAAACTCGTGCAAACTGCCTAGCTGTCAATGTGCTTCCACTTCCCCTCCGGGTGGCTTGAACCCCAAGGATGTGCCCCAGTTCATCCTTTTCACCGGTATGGTACCACTCCATGTTGCATTTTGATTGATTGGTTGGGTTGACACCCGTCTCACACCATTTTGTTTGGTTACAGCCGATGATGCTGTGCAATCCTATACGATCAACTCGGTCAACCAGTTCCTTGCCCAAAGGAAGAATCCTAATGGATGTGCTCCAAAAGTCAGTCCTTTCTCTTACATCAAATCATCCCAACACATCCATCTAACTGATTTATCTCTCTATCTCCATCAGATGACCTACTTCGTTTCGTTGAACTATACCAACTACTCCATGGTCACAGATTGGTATGTTGCTGGAAATGAAATTGCAGACCACACAGTCAGTCGGGCCTCTCCTCGTTCTATCCATCGAAAATAATCATTTGAGCGGTCCATCAACTTAAGCCAACCTTCTACTCCTTCCTTAATAACCAGATGACCCACGTCGGCAGCGCGCCTGTGAACGAAATCGATGGAAACATCATCGCTCTTAACTCACTCTCTGGGATCCCCATCTCAGCCATCCAGGGCTTCCGTGCTCCCTATCTCAATTATACCATTGATACCATGAAGCATCTCAAGGACGCCGGCTTTACCTATGACTCATCCACCAGTTCCAGCAGTCCGGCCAATGACTCCATCACTGATGCTTACTGGCCATACACGCTTGACAACGGCTTTGCAAATGACTGTCTCAGCGTGCCTGGACTGTGCCAAGGAAAAGTCAAACTACCTGGCGTCAGTATCTCAATCACTTGCCTTTGTTTCATCCCTTTCAAATATATCTTATTTCTTATTTTCATTATCTGTCTACAGATGTGGGAGATTCCCATGTATGGTATCTTTGATGAAAAGCAAGCAGGTGGCGTGCATCTGATGGACCCATGGCTCGATGACCCTGACCCAAACAAGGTCCTCGAATGGATGAAGTCTACCTTCCTGACCCACTACAACGGCAACCGTCAACCCTTCGGACTCTACACCCATCCCATCCATCTTGCCACCGGCTACCCTGGTGTTACCGATCCGAAGGCTCAGATTAACATGGTCAACCAATTTCTCGACTGGGCTCAACAGATGCAAGGTGTATGGATCGTCAGTAATGCTCAATTGCTCGAGTGGATCAAGCATCCAGTCCCCATGAACAACCTCAACTCTGTATCTGCATTAGGATGCTCGACTCCATCCGTTACTGAGAAGATCTGCAACGGTTCGCACACTCACCCTTCCACGGCTGGTTGATTATCTTACTCATAATACTGATTTGATCTTTCTGTTCTCAGGTATGCCTGATAATGAGAAGGGCTTGCTCCAAAACTGTGCATTCAGCGACTTCCCATTCACTACGTGTTATGGATGTCCTTCGGTGCCACCGTCGCCCAGTAACCCGTTACCGCCTCAATCGGGCAGCAACCCTCGCCACCGATTGCCCGCTAACTGTTCGACCCCGTTCTGGGACCCGATTGGCAACAAGTGTCTCTGCACCTCAAGTGCCTGTCAATTCAGTGATATGACCCGCCCCATCGGCCCCAACGGAGCCAACTTGACCGGCGGCGGCACTGGTGCGCCCGATGGCTCCGGCAAAACTATTTACACCCCGTTCAAAAACTCGGCGGAAGCTCAGTTCAATGTCCATTCAGCCGTAACCCCTGCTCTCATGGTTGCCGCTCTATCGATTTTATTTCTTTGAGAGTTGTCAGATGAAGCCATAACGTTCATGCTTTAATCCCGTCACCCCCTCTTTTCTTCATATCACTTTCCTTTTATCCATCTTGATCACACACGAGTTTGATTTGAATCTAACGATTGATTACTATAAATAACCTTATTCTGATCATCTTGTGTCACAAGCAATAGTTGTCTTTATATATAACTTTCTCACCTCTGTGTCCGATGGAATGTTTTGTGCAAGGTTATTTCCTTGCATTCATTCTTTCCCCTCATTTTCTTGATGGACAGGATCTTGTACCCCATCCTTTGTTATTCTGTACCATCATTTGCACCCCTCTTTCTCACTCTTTTGTTCCCTCGATTTTTCTCGTTTCGCTCGCTTTTGTTTTCCTCTGCCTTATGTTGTTTCAGGAAGGTTTGGATGAATCATCGGAACCAGATCATTATTTGTCAGTCAGATCGAAAAATCAATTCAAGTATTTGGCAATCCGTTTGTGTGTGTGGTTGGAATAGGACTAGCCTCCTTCCTTTGTTCACTGGGATGGGCGTAAGCTTCTTTCACAACGAGTATCTTGCCATGGCACAGTCCTCATCAGCTGCTCTGTGTGACCGCAGTACATGCCAAGAATCAGTCCTGGTGGTCTGACAGGCTCTCTGCATTTTCATCTTTATCCAGGAAAGAAGACATTTTTGATTCACCCCTATGTCAGAGCTCATGCACTGAAGAAAAATTGAAAGACAACTAATGCCAACATGAGGAACTGTTATATGATGAACTACATCTTGTTTCCGCGATCTCCGTAGTGCTCATAATGCAGTTCTTCTAATGTATATATAGATATATTCATGGCTCACACTTCTCATGAAAGGAAAGAACCACTATTAGATCGTGATGAGAAAAAAAAAAAAAAAAAAGAAGTTGTTGGCCTCGTTTCCGAACAAAAAAAAGAAAAAGAAAAGAAAAGAAACTCCAGCAATTGAGGGAGGTATGACGTTTATCTGATCAGAGGGGTTCCGCATTCGGCTTGGTTCCTACAGGATAGAGAACGTAGAACGTCGTGTTTTCCATGGCTTAAAATGATTGCGAAAGGGCCGGTGTTCTCGTTCACCAAGAGTGATGTCCTCCAGAAACGATTATGCTAGACAAGCCAAACGTTTGGCAAAAGGTCGTCAGTTTGAAGCTCCACATCAACATGAAGGCACATGTGGTTTTACTTGACCAAAAACAAAATAGAAAACCCGATTTCACTCAACTCAGATCCAGTGCAGAATGTGCTTGCATCACTCGCAAGCCAAGAGATGACTCCTCTGAGCTCGTGCGGCCTTCCTATTCGGCCAAGCGGATTCATACTGGACCATTTTGATTCCAGCTCTGGATTCTCGTCTAAATAGCGAGCCGTCATAGCTGTGCGGATGTGTCCTAAATTTGAATGCAGATAATGTGGTTTTTCTTCAATCTTACGGGCCAAGAGCGGGTACGAAATAAGAAGCAAAAAAACAATGCTAACAAACCAGGCGAAAGCGTGTTGACCCTGATTCCACGAGAGCCTAGCTCACATGCCATGCTACGTCCCATCTGTAGTACTGCCGACTTGGAAGTGTTGTACGCTATCCAGGCACTTCAGAGGATCTGGTCAAACCCCATCCCATCAGGATGATTTTCGAATACAAAGAAACAGGAACTCAACTGCTCTCTGTTGGTGATGGAACCGGACATTGATGCAATCAGGATGATCGAGCCCGGGATCCCAAGAGCACTCATCTCTGCCGCCGCTTTGGTCGCCGTGTTGAAAACTCCCGTCGAGCTTCGTAGCGTGTAAATCATGGTCAGCCGGTCAATTTTTGCATTTACAATTCCACCAAACAGGTTCCAAAACCAGAGAGAAAGCAGGGACTTACTTGACGCTCATCACTTTTTGAAACTCTTCAGAGGTCACATCGATGCAACTTTTTTCAGCGGGAAGGATTCCAGCAGCCGCAATGCAGATATCGAGCCTTCCCTCTGAGGCCACGATCTCTTGACAGATTTTTTGCAAGGCGTTCTGATCAGTGACGTCGACGGGTCTGTAAACCAATCGTTCCTTTGCCGGATCCTCGCCCCTTCTCGAAGCCGATTCGCGGTAAAGCGCTTTGGCGTAAACTGCGCACGCCTCGAATTCAGTCGAAGGAGATTCAACCACGTCGAGCACCCATATCTTGGCCCCAAGTTCTGCAAGCGCAAGTGCACTTTCCAGCCCTATGCCGCCGTTGGCCCCGGTTACTATGCCGACCCGACCATCCAGCCGGAACTCGTCAAAGACGGTCCGGAACTTGCTTGCACCCCGATCCCCGCATCCGTGAGTCAAGGCAGCAGCAACACCAACTTCTGGAGTCTGAGATGATTTGGAGGCTGAAGCAGTGGTCATTCTGATTATAGATATTAATATAGTTCTCTTTCTTCTAAGAATTGATATCTGAATTGGAAAGATTCAGACTGAAGAGATTTTCTCTAGATAAACGCCTGGCCCGTACTTTTTTTTTCTTTTCTCTAACCGCTATTCAAATAGAATTGTTGGAAGAATGTTGAGAGTGGGATAAAGTTTTTCCAAGAAAGTTCAACAAAAACACACACCAATAAGAAAGGTATGATGTAGTGCAGATCTTTTAAAGCTGAGACGGAAGCGAGACTCTGGTGCTGTGGTGGACATTGTACATACAAGGAGCTATCCAGATAGATAGACTGACAGTGAGTTAACTCGGGGCTGATCGTCAGTAAGGAAGAAGATGAGAAGGCCATCAAGCGCCTTCGGTCACCCCATGTCAAATAATCGATGGCAACCAAGGGTCCGAGATTTTGCCGACGGACGACGGCTAATTCGGCCACTGGATCAGGGATACCCGACGGCGATGTCAAGAAGTTTTGTTTGTGGATACATACATACGACTCTTGGAACTGTCTCAGGAGTCACATCCAAAATCTTCCGCTAGAATGTTTTGCGGATTTGGGAAGAGGTATTATTGTACATGCACTCTCTAGCTCCAAAGGACTGTTTTTTCTAATTTTTATCAGGTGTTCAATACCCGAGTGCATGACGATAGATTGAGCTCCCTTCATCATCTTGTTGATCCTGGCCTGATGGTTGTCCGGAATCGGGACTTAGTGTGGATCTTGCGGGACTGTCAGCTGGGATTTGTGTTATCATGGAACGAGTCAGCTGAGAGCCATACATCAATACTTTTACCAGAACTCACGGGTATGGATGTATCACAGTAACACAACATTGACGTCACCTACCTAACACTCATGACATGCCAAGGTTCCGGAGGACTTATTTATATGAGTTTATTGGCGACATGGGTTATAACATATTAGTAAGGGAAGAAAACTGCAAGCGATCGCCACGATCATCTTTGCTAAATGGCGGGAAGCTTTGGCAAGAAGAAAATGACGCGGTGGCACAATGCTACTGTTTGGCCATCCTGCAGCATTTATTAACCTCAGCTTACCAATTTGATACATACGATGCGGATGAGGTCTCCTCTCAAGTTCATTCTTCAGCGGCTCACAGCCCAGCTTGCATCAGCTACAATGTCATCCGAATACATGTTGCCACATGCGCCGGTAAGTGGGAATTACAACATCAGTACACTCACGGATAACGAACCGGTCGAAGGGGAGACCAGCAGAGGAAGGGTTTCTTGTAACTAGATGCGCGCATGCGGGATGTGTGGACAAATATGCCTTGTTCGCGTAGGATCGTTCCAGACACGGATTGTACAACATTAATGAAAGGGGCCATGATGCGACTCTCAACATGCTTTTGCATGCGTCATGGTACCCTTGGACATCCCGTCTGATTGGAAAATTGAAGCGAAGTTGGTGTCTAGTGGTTTGTTCGATTCGACCCTACTAGAAGGGACCGAATTGTCGAGCGCTTTGAACAAGAAATAATAACGGCTCCAATTGACACACGACCTGATGAAGAAGCCTAATTGAAATCAACATGGTAGGTAAAAAAAAAGAACAACATGAAGTTGAATGCATGATCAATAGTTTTGATGATACTTGCTCCTCTTGAATAAGTATCTTTCAGGTCCCGTGATAACGCTCACTGTGCAAGAAAAAAAGGAAAAGGAGTGATATTCGAACCAAAAATTTCCAGTGAAGAAAATGTATGAATTTTCCAAGTTGAGTATGTTGAAACATAAAAAAAAAAGAGGAGGGAAGTGGTACACTTGAAGGAGAGCCAACAGTATGTCTAATCAAGGTTAGTCATAACACACTTGAAGCTCCCAAGTACAATGCACAACAATAATTATTAAGGGGCTTTGAACACATTGGAAATACAGCAACATATCCAATCAAACAAAGACCAAGAAAAGATGTGAGAGAGAGAGAGATAAGTCTGTTGATTTGCCACAGTTTTTCACAGACAAATTTACAAAGAAGGGCACCCTACATATGATTGGTGACATGGACAAATTTGAGACACCTAAGTACAGAGACAGATGGAGAAGACAGTTGTAAATATGGGAACACAGGTAGTAAAAAAGTTGATAATATTCAGGGTGACAGGTTGTTGTTTGCGGTGGTTAGAGTCGGGTCTGAGAGGCTTGG